TGCAGAGCCCCAAAGTTGGAAAGATCCTTAAAAATGGTCTGATCCAAATTGCCATCTGTCGAATGGACATCTTCTGAATTCTATATTTTTCAAGCTCTTTCAACTCTTGTTGACTCTATTTCAACTGTAATTCTTTTTGTAGCTATATACAAATTTTATAACTATTTCCTACATTTTTAGTTGTTGTTGAAAATGCTGAACAGGTGTTAGATGATCCTTTTAATGGTCATTTTTTATAACTCTTATGACAACTTTTCCTCACCTTGTCTATGAAGATTATATGAAAGTTCTTTCAAAACAGAACTGAAGGACAGATTTTATTATCTTAGAGGAAATTTAAAGGCATATGAGAGCATTATATAAATTAAAAATAAAAAATAAAAATGAGCAATCATAGAAAATCATTGTGTTTCACTTCAAACCAAATCAAATGTAAAATACTATACCTTCTGGAAAGGTTAATTAGAAAGTAGTACTCCATTAGGTCTCATGTATGGTTCATGGAAAGGAAAGAAAGAAGGATGGAAGAAAGGAAAGAAGGAAGAGAGGAAGGGAGGGAGGGAGGCTGGCTCTGTATTGGCTCTTCCAGACTGTAGCTGTTTCATCCCAATCTATTCTGCTTTCATCCTCACAGAAACCCAGTATTGTAGGTTCTGAACTAGTGATAAAACTGAGGCCCAATAACCTGGCCCAATGACATTTTTTTTTCCATTCATTTGTAGGGAATAGAATGTAATTTAAAACCAGGTCTAAGGTCTACTTCCTTTGCACTGTGCCATAATAATACCCTAGAAGGGTAAGCAGTGTAGATAAGATAAGCAGATATATCAACTATTTTTACCCTGAAGCTCATAATATTCAATGAAATAATAAATAATAAAAAAATCTATAGTAGCACTTCTTGGGGCTGAGTTAATTTTAGTGGTTATGAACTTTGTATGAACTTGGTCTCTGGTAAGAACTTGTCTAGTCCTTCAATAGTGTAGCATACTAAGATGGAATGAGTCTGATTGTCAGTTATTTCAGAGGAGGGACTTGACAGTGTCTAGTCTTATTCAGTGTTCAATAGCTAAATTATTTTCTAAAAATCTGTTTTATCCTGAATTGGATTCATATTTTGAAACACATACATGCTTTGCTTTTTAAAATATCTTTTATCTTATGATTATCCATTCTAGAATTACATGAAAAAATAGGATATCACATTTGAATTTTAGGACAGCGATTGGTGGCATCACATCTTTTAGAAATCCAAAGGTATTATTTGGATTTAGATTTACATTATCCAGAAGTTTAGGCATGAATATAAATTTGCCATAATATCTCTCTAATGGTCTTAAAATAGTGAGTTTTACTTTACAGTATGTTGGTAATAGAACAATTGTTTATTTATTTGAGTCTTTATTTTCTGAAGCATCTTCATTTGTCTCCTTTTGATGAAACCAAAACAAACCATAAATATGTATTGGCAATTCACATATTTACTATTCTGTATACTTGATATTTTAGCATGTTCACCTCTAAAGTCTAAGATTATTGTGTATTTTTAAGTGGAAGATGTATTTATTTTCATAGCACAACTAATTATAATCGCTTTACTTTTTTTGGTCATATAAGTCTCAAAGAATCAAGATCTTTGACTTAGGTAGTAAAAAATACTTTTTGTATTTTGTAGGACAGATAATTGATCTGTTCTTTTATTCTACATATATGCAAAGGTAAAATTTTACCTAAAATATTGAAGATTGGCACTTTCATATTTTTAGTTTTCTATTACGTATCTGTATACTATAAATGAGACTACTGACTTTGACAGATTAAAATTGCTGCAGCATTTTTATTTCTACTGTCATTTAATTTTTACTGCAGTCATGCATTGCTTAATGACATGTTCTAAGAAATGCATTGTTAGGCAATTTTCTCTTTGTGCAAACATCATACAGCGTACTTACACAAACCAAATAGTATAGCCTGCAACACACCCAGACAACATAGTATAGCAATTCTACCTAGGCTACAAACCTGTATAGCATGATACTGTACTGAATTGTATACGTAATTGTAACACAATGATATTTGTGTATCTAAACATATCTAAACATAGAAAAAATACAGCAAAAAATGAGTATATGTAGATAGGGCACGTGCTATGAATGGAGCTGGTAGGATTGGAGGTTGCCCTGGGTCATTAAGTGAATGACTGGTGATTGAATGTGAAGGCCTAGGACATGGCAATATTGTAGATATTATAAACACTCTACACTTAGACTATATTAAATTTATTTTAAACATTCCTTTTTCAATATTATACTATCTTTGCCTGTGATAACTTTTTTACTTTATAAACATTTTATTCTTTTTAAATTTTGACTCTTTTGTAATAACAGCTTAAAACACAAATGCATTGTCCAGCTATAAAAACTATTTTCTGTATTTATATCCTTACTCAAGGATAGACTTTTTTCTATTTTTATTTATTCATTTTACTTTTTAAACTTTTTGTGTTTAAAACTAAGATGTACACACACACACACACACACACACACACACACACACACGCTAGCCTAGGCCGCCACAGGGTCAGGATCATCAGTATCACTTCCACCTCCACGTCTTATTCCACTGGAAGGAAGGTCTTCAGGGGTAACAACACGCATGAAGTTGTCATCTCATGTAATAGCAATGCCTTATTCTGGAATACCCCTGAAGGACCTGCCCGAGGCTGTTGTACAGTTAACTTTATAGTGTATAAGTAGAAGAAGTGCACTCTAAAATAATGATAAAAAAGTATAGTGTAGTAAATACTTAAACTAGTAACACAGTCGTGTGTTATTATCAAGTATTATGTATTGTACATAATTGTATGTGCTATGCTTTTTCATGACCAGCAGTATAGGAAGATTGTTTATATAACAAACCACAAACATGTGAATTATGTGCTATGTTATGATGGCTGGCTTCATTGGGTGATAGGAATTTTCAGCTCCATTATAATCTCTTGGGACTACCTTTATATAATGTGGTCTGCTGTTGACCTGAAATGTCATTATGCTGTGCATGACTGTGAATGGTTTAAAAATAATGAGTAACGTCCTGTAAAAGCTGGATATTACAAAACAGTCATTACAGGATTTGAATTTTAAAATCATATTAACAAAATGATGTACTATTATATGCTATTTTAATTTGTCCTCATTTATCTTAACAGCTTCCTCTACCAAGACAACATATATCAGCTACAGCAATCATTCAATCTGAAACAGGGAAATGATACAATCTGAAGAAATGTGGTATATGATGTTAAACAATGAACATGAGACTACAAAAATTCACTCCTGGAGATCTCCATAGACTACAATCAATCAAATCAATAGTCAGTCTTGTAAGGAACAAAAATTAGCCATGAGCCAAAAGTATCAATAAACGGGAAGTGAAGAAACCCGTTTTATACAATAAAACCAATAAGTGTCAAGCTAAAGTATTGCTTACTCATGAGCAGTTAAAAAAAATCACAAAAGGAAAACTAATGTTAGCTTGTGAAAAACAATGCTGTTGAAATAAATCATGTCCGATGTTATTCTTGTAAGTATTTTTCTGTGATTGTGAGAACTCCCATTCCTGTCCCACATTGTTCAACTTGTATAAGACAATGAGTCTGTTTCTTGTAATGGCTGACCGGATTGAAGCCCTGGGTTGTGCTAAAAATAAATGCAATGATTGATGCATGCAATTTTTTATACAAATAATTTATTTCTAATAATAAAGGAATGTTTTGCAAATGTTGAGAGTTGTTTTGTTCCAGTTTTAAATCTTGGGAAAGCTCTTCTTTCTAATTAGTTCCTTCTATGAAAGCTCTGGTGTTCTGAGGAAATATTTCTTTGAGGAATATGTTTTTGTACATTTGTGTGCATATGAGGCAGATTGTCTTTTATTCCTATATTAAAAGGCATTATTAGTGTAAGACTTTGTGAATATTTCAAGATTTCTGTGGTAGCTTTTCATAGTAACTGCTTCTTTTATGAAGAATCAAGCAATCATTTGAGGTAAATTACTTTGAGTTAATTAACAAATGATGAATTAAACTTTACTTTGGAGAATGTAATATGCAGATTACCATTTGAAAGTACATCAAAATGTGTCACTGTAATTCCCCATTACATTTCTAAATCAAAATTTTTGCATAAAGAAATATCATGTGGTATGTAGTTTTAAGCTTTTCTCACCTGGGCATAGAAATCACTGAAATCAGTGAAGTAATGGGCCTTACCCAGTACGTTCTTCAAAGCACATAATTAGCATATTTATTCCCTTGGCATCACTATAAGAAGCCACAGTTCAGATAACATGTCAATGCTTTCTTATTTTCCAAATGAAAACATTCATTGGTTCATAGAACAGTATCATGAAAGAGAGAGGAAACAGGGAGCCTGTATCATACTAATAAACCATGCCAGAATGGATAAAAGGAGGCTGATAATGACTTTCAAATCTGTTCCCATTTTTGTCATGGGCTCTTCTATGCCATACAATCCCAGACATCCATCAAGTCAATGGGTCTCCACAATCATTTTGTTAGTGAATGTTCACTCTGCTGAGTTAGCTTGGATGGCTCATTGCACTCCTTATAGATACAGAGAGCTGTCTGTGCTCTGTAGCTTCAGCCCAGTTACTGACAGTTACTATATTTAACAGAGAAGGTTGAAGTAGCATAGCACAGGCTCCTTCAACATACAGTGATGTTTCCTAGATATCTACAAAGACACGTTGCTGCATATAGAAGGAAATGTGTATCTACTGGCTTTTTGTTGAGTTTCTCCTAATAGTAATGGTTGTTTGTAGATAATATTTAAATCCAGGAGTAAGGGCATTATTTTCAAGTTTTCAGATTATCTGAATTACTGATAATGCAATCCTGCAATCAGGATCCTAAACCCACCTCTAGGAATGCCTTTCTAGATAAGACCTAGACTAAGCAAAATAAACCCATTACAGCATATTAAGTGTATTTTATTGTGCCATGTAGCTCAGTACCAGTAGCCATACAAGAAGTAATTATACTTGTATTTTAATTTTTAAGTTGACAATTTTCTTCATTTTGGATATTGTTCATGGTTTGTAAGAATGTTTTTTTTCTTCATTTTAACTATCTATATGTTTAGTTGCTTGAATTATGTAAGCCTTGCATTTCATTCAGAGAGCAAAACTCAAGTATATTTTTGTTTACTAATTTCATTTATGGATTGACTCTAATCAGGTTCAGTGGATGTGACAGGGTGATTATGAGAGCAAAATTGGCTCTCAGGCCAAATATGGGTTTTTATTATTATTGTTACCTTTTAAAAAAATGTTAAAGTTCTAGGAAGAAAAATAAAATGCCAAGCATAATTCGTGACATTTCAAAATTCTTCTTCCCACTACAAACCTACCAATGGGATGTTATTCCTAAGTACTTTAACAAATAATTGATACCTGTTTAAGGTTATACAAAATCTTATTTAATTCACAATAAAGTTGAATAGTAACTCATGGATTTACATATACCAATCATCACTTATAACATTATCTCAGTGGGAAACATTCTGCTGATGAAACTACCATCTTTTTCAAGTAGTGGGAGGATAAACTCTCGCAACCTCTTACAGTTGGAGCTGGAGAATTCTTTCTTCCACTGTGTTTGTTTTCTCAGGGATTTTGCTGAGGGCTTGGAAGGTAGTCATATAGGGTGAGACAATGGTGGTGAGGCATCCTGTTGGAAGGATTTATTACGTGCCAGTAGTGGTTCATAAGTCCCATGCTTTAAAATGAACTGTCTGTGTACTACAGATAAGCAAATGCAAAGTTGTACAGAAAAAAATGCAGTATTATATTCTTTAGAATTGACCTTATGTTTTATTCTGGCCAAGAAATGTCATATCTAATCTCCACATGCCAGAGGGAACGCAAAAAATGTAGCCTGAGGTAATATTCAGCAAATGTCAGTAGTAGACAATGAGAGATATATTAGTGTGACCTTGGGCCAAATCTGACCTCAGTTTTTAAAATATTTCTAGCTTATAATAGTTAATATTTTAAAATGTCTACATCGATGATAGTTGATATGTCACAAACTAATCTTTTAAACACAACTACTCATAAATTTAAACTTGAGGGATGAGCCTTGGAACATGAACAGAAACTGAATAACTCGGTTTTTAGTATTTATCAGAAATTTTTACAGAAAATGTGGCATTTCAGATGAACAAGATTTTACTTTTTTAGAAATTAAATACCATATTATATGAAATCTCTCTAGGAACAGAAGTTTTTGTCATTTGTTTACTTACCCTTTTAACACAATTTCTATATTATTTACCAATATTTCTTGACAGTGTAGAAAGAATATTAATAGTTTTCTAAACTATATTAAACATCAATATTGATGTTTTATTCAGTCAGCAATTGGAAGAAACGACATTCTTAAATCCTATTATGCAACCTTATCAATTTTTTTACTTCATTTTTGAGTTTCTCCTAATAAATCCCTAATAAAAATATTGCTTGTTTGTCTTTTCATTCACGTTCTAGAATGAAATGGCCGGAAGTAACAATGAGGCTGCCTGCAAGAATGAGTGAGAATGCCAAATTATAGGATACTCTTTTTGTATACAATGATCTTTAGAAATGTTTCTTTTTGCTTTTTTATGGTTCTCCTTTAATGAAGATGAAAACAGTGTAGAAAAATTTGACAACAGCTAGAAAAATGAAATACTTCCTTAAGAAGAAATTATTGTCTATGAATGATCAGAATGTTGCTGACTACCACTTGGCAAGTGTCATATTACGGGGGTAGTAGAAGAAAACAGCACATTATCTTATTTTTAAAAAACCTATTTTCAATGACCATTCTATTAGTTTTTCTCTTTCAAAAATTTTTTGTATCATCATCTTTAGTGGTGGTGTTACTTTTGGGCACTCCTTAATTTAATTTAATCCTCCATAGGACATTCAGAATATTTTTGTCTGTTGAACTCAGTCTGTTATCGCTGTAAAGTCTAATATTTTATTTTGATTCATATATCTGTTTGAAGAGTGATAAGGATGAACAAAAACAAATTTGACCTATGCAGTGTTTTTTCTAGTTGCCTATTGCTTAGGTGGTTAGAGTAAAATTAAGTTTTACAAAAAACTTGTTACAAAGTCATAAAGTACCAAGCATGTATCAAGGCCTATGAAAAAACAAGAATTATCCATGTAATAACTTGGATGGGAAGAATGGGTGATGCGTTTATAGAAAACAGGAAAGACAAACCATGAATGTAATGCTTCAGGCTGTAAAGTAGGCAGTAAGCTTTATGAGGTTACTTGTCAATCAACTAATTCCCATTAGGTGAAGTCAGTAGAACATAGGGTAATTTTGAGAGGTAATAAAAAATATTAGTGTTAATTTTGTAAAAGTTAAAAAAAAACTCTCATAACAAATGTAAAATGAACAAGTCAAGGATTTTATTCACTTTATTACCTAAAGAGGGAACTAATGAGATCTAGAAACCAGTCCAAAGAGCATTTGAGAAGCTAGCAATATATATATATATATGTGTGTATTATATAAATAAATATTGAGATAAATGAGAGGATTAGATACAAAACTGGCTTAGTATCCTACAATATAATAATAAACCATAACATCTCAGGTTATATGTTCCATTGGACAGACATTATTTGCATTTCTACTGGATGGAACTGTACTAATTAAACCCTTTGCCTAGAGTTGGAAAGTAGCTTTGTTGCTAGAATTTCAAATGAAGCCCTCTACTGAGAGAATGCCATTCATATCTTTTGCCTATTGCTAAATTTTGGATGATTTCTGTGATAAGAGTGATAATTATTGATTTACTTCCCTAATTATAAACATTATATTGGCAACATATGAATAATAAAGGTCATAAACACACCTAAAATTACATGAAGGTAAGTTAGTAATGGAGAAGCTCTGATACAGGGCTGTTTGAATTATTCTTTCCTATCTCAAATCTTAACTGTATCTCCAATTCAGAACTGAATTGTATAAGATGATATGGTGAATAACTGTGAATAAAAGTGGACTTGCCTTCAGGTAACATCACCATCTGACAGTTCCACAAATAATTTGTGAAAGTGTGAGTTATTCGTTTTGTCCCCTACATACTGCCATCTCTAGTAAGTACTTTCTTTCCTCTTTTGTAGTATGTTACCCTAAAACGGGGAATCAGCTTTTCAAGAGTGTCCCTGAAGATGACAAACTATGAATAATTTACTTATCTCCATGAGTTTCTTCTACTTGTCATTGGCTATCAACCCTGGCCCTTCCTAACAAAGGCTTCTTCAAATCCTGACCCCTGACAACTTCCAGGCAGGAGAAGCAAGAATGAAAGAAGCCATCTTAATCAAAGACGGGGAGAAGAACCAGGTATGATTAGTGGGGCTCTGCTTTTCCGTAAACATCCTAGGATTTAATAACCTCTATCTACTCCTTACTTCTGTCTGTCATCCTAAGCTCTGCAGAGCAGGATCATGGTGACTGTAGGACTATGGGACTCCCTTTAATACTTTCCTCTTTCAATAATTCAACCCAATTACTTTTCTATGTCAAACTTTCCTCCACTTCCAATATACACAGATATCATAGAGGCATATCAAAAGCCTCAGGGGAAGCTATCGCAGCTGAATTTTAAGTAATAAACAATGTGATTATAATGGTTTAATCATTTTTTT